CACACACACACACACACACACACACTCACATTTTTGGATTTTTGGCTCGCCTCAGCCTGCGTCGTCGGTGAAAGACCTCCAGCTCCAACGCAGCCCTCTGATTTTTAATCCGAAATGAAACGACAAAAGAAAAAAAGGCTTGGAAAACCGCAACTCCACAGCCAGCAAGCTTTCCGTCATATGAGCAGCATTCGCCTTACGGGCCCAATCGAAGCCTATCGTGCTTATAAGAGGCGTTCGCTCGAGTGACGGTCGCACTTGCTTGCCCTTCGGTGTGAGAGCTGAGCCAAGAGCAGAGCAGGAGAGCAATTGCCGCCGGCCTACTGTATTGCTTCACAGCAATCCGGACCTCTCCGACACGCGGCAAACCAACACCAAAATGCTTAGAATCTGCGGGCGCGGGATTTGTTAGGCTTGCCGACTCGACATCAGTCAAGCTCAACCGTGATCGAGGACTGCTGCCTCGTTGGTTTTTCTCGGCCTCGCTGGCGGCGTGACTGCGGGAAGAAGTGTGACAGGCACCGCTCTCTTTTTGGCTGAGTCGAGTCGAGTCGAGTCGGCTGCACCCACTCCATCCTTTACTCCCCATCCTTTCCCCCATTCCACCTTGAGGCATCGCGTCCCTCGGCTTCGGATCAGGACGCGGCTCGGTTGGACGCCGCCACGCTCCAGCTCTTTCCCAGGGCGGTCTTGCCATCGTCTCTGCACGATGCCTCCTCGAGCGACGGCCTGCGCATTACCTTGCTAGTCTTTCCCAAGTGAGAGACTCGGCGTGGTGTGCGTCTTCCGCAGCATGACGAGTGAAAGCAAGCGAGATCTTGCGAGCTGGGCCAATCCACCGGCGCCGTCTCCTGATCTCATACTCACAGCCGTGCTGTTCGACGCCATGCCCCACTAGTGTCAGGTATGTAGTTCTTGTTTTCGATCGCTCGTACACACCATCAACCAAGCAACGACCGAGCGACGACATCTGCGCAAGCACGAACGTGGCTTCCAGTCCAAAGGCCACCGTTACTCGCCGGCGCATCGGTCTTCGATGCGCCTTCAACTGGCCTGCCCTCGGGCGGGCCCATGCGAGTGGGAAGGTCCGCGTACTCCTCCTACCTTTTCGGCTCGTGCTGCCGAGGCCGCTCCTTGATCTCCGGAGGGACCGTGACGCTCTCGTGTCGTCTCCGCTTCGGTGGGGTCGCGGCCGAGTTCGTCGCGGGCTTCTCTCCGTCACATCTGCTCTAGCTGGGCGAGTTGAAGCGTCAGCGCGCTGGCCGTCACGGGGGTTTCCGGCCCCGCATCGTGACACAAAGTGCCCACACCAGAAATGGATCTCTCGTCAAGCCTTGGCATGTCGTCGTCGTCACACCCCCTCTGGGAACTCGTCCGCTTCTTCCCTGCGGCGCATACGGCGTCTGCGGGACGTATGACAAGGCCCCATGCGTCCTCATCTTGTCCACTTCTCCGCGGTCTACAGCGCTCGAGCTAGGCAATCCCACGACACCACCCTCCACCCAAATGTGGGCCTGGGCAAGGAAGAGGATACACGGTCTCGTAGGTCTGCTGTGCTTCGGGGAAGCATGCTGGGTGCATGCTTTGGGCACCTTGCAATTGCTCTAGTAGCGATGTCTTCGGGCGTTGCTGCCATTGCAGTTGTATTGCGGTCATCTCTCGCGGGGGCTGTATGCGTTGTGGGTTGGAAAGTTGACTTGCTAAGGGTGGGGATGACGATGCATGAACCGGGCGTAGAGAATGGAATCGGGCCGCCAAAGTAGATCAGGTTCAGATGTGCGTGTGTCCTCACACGTCCATCACGGCTGCAGACTGCACCAGCTTTTGCTAGGTCGCATGTTCGGGGATAGGAGGATGCTCAATCTCGCCCTTTCGGGGGTAAGATGAAGGCTTGAGTGCAATCGGTGGCGTCTCTCCCCACGTCTCTGCGGGCGTGAGGGGAGCCAACTCGACGCGAGACTACTCTTGGTCTGGAAGCCACCACCACGTTTGTCGCTATGCATTGTCTGCTCGGTCCGAGCTTTGGCAGAGTGTGCGCCCTGTAGCGTATGGAAGACAGGAACCACGTCGTCGTCCTCCTACTGCAGCGCTTTTGCGTGGCGGAAGAGCGTACAACGTCGGTCTGATCCCATCAATCGTCCTTTCGTAGGCGTAAGTCCGCCTTTCTCCCCACAGTTGGGGTCGGAAGGTCCGCGCTCACACGAACACATTTTTCCCACCCTCTTCCGATTCGTCCTCTGACCCTCCATTACTACATTGACGAACGGCACACCATTGAAACCACGTGGCACAAAACGCAAAACGCAGAAGTTTGAACAGTCTGGGCAGATTGAGAGGCAGATTGAGAGCATGGAGAATGGAACAAGAATGTGACACACATGATGCGAGCGATCAGGGAAGAGGGAAGTGGAAACGCTGGAGCAGGATGACGTGCTCAGCTGCGGATGCGGATGCCCTTGTCCTGGACGACATTGTTGCCGAAGCGGCCTGCGCGACCGGAACGGTCGAGGTGGTCGAGGCCGAGCGCATCGTCGGGCTGGAACTTGTGCTCGTACAGCAGGTCGTCGTCCTCGAGGTACGTCGGCTGCTTGTACGTCGACGACTGCACGAGCGCGAAGCGGTACTTTGCAAACTCCTTCTCCGGCACCTCGAGACGCTCCTGCAGACGCCGCCTCGTCTCGTGGAACGGCTCGTTGCGCTTGACGACAAACCGGAACGGCACGCCGTGCGTGCGCACCAGCTCCTTGCTAAAGTGGAAGGCGTTGATCACCTTGTCGTCCTCGGTGAGGTTGAGCTCGTCCAGCGACACCTCCTCCGCAAACAGCTCCGCGTTCTCGCCAATGTTGCCGATCATCTCGACGCCGTTGAACTCGCGCTGCTGGCGGCCGTTGAGTACCGCCTCGAAGAGCCGCACCTTCTGGCTGCCGTTGGGGTCGAGCTTGACCAGCTTGGCCAGGTGGTCCGTCACCTCGACGATCGTCGCCGTCTTGGGCAGCAGGAACGAGTGCACCGACTCCTCCTTGTTGTTGGCGCCCGTCCAGATGATCTTGAGGCTGCGCTTGGTCTCGAGCTCGATGATGCTCACGTCGAGCAGCTCGTAGTACAGCAGCGACGCCTGGCCCTGGATGTAGCTCGGCGAGACGATCTCGTTGACCGTCTGGTTGGCGGTGCGCTTGAGCACCGTCTTGGGCGTGCCGTTGGGCCCGTTGCCCGTGGTGAAGCGCAGCTTGAACGGGTCGTGCTTGAGACGCTCGCCCGCCTTGGCGGCCATCATGTCGTAGGTCATCTTCTTGCTCAGCGTGAGCTCGAACTCGGCCTTGTACTCGACGTCCTCGAAGCGCGGCTTGAAGAGCACCTTGATCTGGTTCTGCAAAAAGTCGTAGAACTGGATGGGATTCGAGTAGAGCGACTGCGACTCGTAGTCGTGCGCGTCCTTCTCCGAGAGCTCGATCTGGAAGCAGATCACATCGCCGTCCTGGATCTCGCTCTGGGCAAACGTCGCCTTGGGCTTCATCTGCTCGATCATGCCCGGCTTGATCTCCTCAAACAGCTTGACCTGCGTGGTTGGTGGCCAGCGCATGAGCTCGTTGATGGTGGGTGCCAGGTCGCCCACCTTCATGTGTCGCTGGACGTAGACGCGCGAAACGCCGAGCAGCGTCTGCCTCGAGGTGTCAAAGTACTTGAGGAAGATCATCATGGACGGATTCGCCTCGTTGTTGGGGATGTCGTTGTTGATGACCTCGAGGAAGAGGCGCAGGTCGTGCTGGCGCGACGCCATGCGATCGCGCACCGTCTCGAGCGTGAGGTTGGGGTCGTTCTCGGGCACCACGGTGTCCGGTCGCACCGTCTTGTTCTGGCGGTTGACGAGCACCCACATGCGGATGAGGTCCTCGGGCAGGTTGTACTGCGCAGCGATGCGCGACTTGAAGTTGAGGTAGAGCTCGTTCTTGAGCACGCGGAACGTCGGCAGGTCGGTCGCTGGCAGATTACGCTCCTCAAAAGTGGCGAGGTCGAAGCCCTGGTGACCGCGGAAGGTGTCTTCGGTGATGAGCTTGACGGTGAGGTAGAGGTGCTGCTCCTCGCGCTCGCGCTTGCGCGCCTCCATCTGGAGACGCTCGTCCTCGAGGCGCTGGCGCAGGTGGACGGGCGTGTCTTCGGGAGCCATGGGCTTGAGCACCTCGTCAATGTCGCGCTCGCGCACGTAGACCAGCATGTAGGCGTTGGTGAAGCGCTTCATGGCACGGACGGGCGCACGCGCGCCAATCTGGCCGGCGGGGTGGCCGTTGGGGATCTCGCCGCCGTAGTTGTCCTCGAGCACCTCCTTCTCGGTGACGGGCGTGACGCGGTCGTCGTCAAACTTGAACCAGTTGCTGTCCTTCTCGGGCTTGAGGAGCGCAAAGTAGTGGCCGCCGTGGAGGTCGCCCGAGTGGACGAGGACGCCGTGGAGGCGGTACTTCCAGTCCTCGTTGCTGACGGGCGACTCCTTGTCGATGTAGTCGGCGAGGTCGATGTCGAGCGGGAACTCGTGTCGGTCGTTGATCTTGACCATCGAGTCCTTTTCGATGTCGTACTCGAAGCGCTTGAGCTGGAGGTGGAGGACGGGCGGGAACTTTTCAAAGATGACGCCCTTCTTTGCGTCTTGGAGGCCGTAGCCCTCGGCGTGGTACTTGTTGTCGCCCTCGAGCATCTCGGTCTGGACGTAGTCGCGGAAGGAGTCTGCGAGGTTGTCCATGCCCTTGACGTTGAGCTGGATGTCGTAGAAGTCTTCGGATCGCGAAGACTCGTAGTCGACGTTGACACACCTGAGGTAGGACTTCATCTTGCCGACAAAGAGGCGAGTGATGGCGCCGTCGGCGGCGGTGCCCTTCATCTTGGACTCGAGCTTCTCCTGGAGGACGCGGTTGAACTCCTGGACGTCGTGCTGGAGGAAGCTGTCGAGCGACTTCCAGCCGAACGACTTTGTGAGCTCGTTGGTGCCGACGGGCTGATCCGAGGTTTGGAGGAGGTAGAAGACGCGTTGGAGCGCGAGGGCCACGCTCTCGGACGGCACATCGCCCTCGGTGGGTATTTGATAGACGGCCTTGCGGAAGTAGTGTGTGCAGAAGAGCGACTGGAGGAGCGAGTTCATGTAGCAGGTGGCGCCCTGATTTTTGAGGCCGACGTAGCCGGTTTCCTTCTTGCTGTCGTAGTTGATAAAGTTGTGCCAGAGGACGCCGGTGGGGTCCTTGAGGACGCGGACATAGGCGGTGACGTCGGCGCAGTCGTTCTCGATGATGGGGCGGCTGCGTCCGTCGGTGGGGACGGCGAGTTTGCGAAGCTCGTTGAAGCGGGTGAAGCCCCAGTCCATCTCCTCTGCGGTGAAGCGGTGGTGTGCCTGGCTTGTGGAGAAGATGGTGGGGTCGTGTGGATTTGAGATGACGAGGGCAAACTGTGCGCAGACGTGCCAGCCCTCGGGCGAGCCTTTGGGATCGGCGTAGTCGAGGTAGACGGAGACCATGTCGTTGGGCTGACCGTTGGAGTTGCCGAAGGGGAAGAGGAGGATTCGCCAGCGGTGACCGCCGCACTCGAACTCGGGGCCGGTGATGCGCTTGTCGAGCGTGCGCCAGCCCTTGATCTTCCAGGTGCAGACGGCGAAGTCGGCCTCTTCCTGGCCGAGGTCGGCCAGGTGCTTCTCGGCGAAGGCCTTTGCGTCGTGCACCGAGACGGGCTCTTCTACCTCCATTGGGCTGGCATTCTTGTCCGTGTCTGGGTTGACCAGGGCGGTGGTGGGGTCGAGATGCGGATCCATTTTGGCGGCTGTGTTGTGGTTGGAAGGAGGGTGCGGGAGTGGAGCTATCTATGCTGTAGCTTGCGGGTACGGAAGCCGGGGAAGTGCAGGTGCAGGTGCGGGTGCAGGTGCTTGGCGAAAGGAGTGAAGGTGATACAAGCGGCAAGCTTGATGGTCCGTACAGCCACGACTGCAGTCGAAAGAAGGTGAAGGGAGCGGAGGCCTCTTCAGGTCGACAGTTGGTTCGAGTCCTTCTGGTCGGCCGGAGTCCGAGATATTGCCGAACGGGTCAAGATCGAAGAAACAACGAGCGGGGCAGACGTGGTATATCTGCTGCTAGGAGATGAGGAAGCTGCGGCCGGCTTTGTCGCGAAGGCTTGGGATGAGATGGCGAGGCGATCTCGATAAAGAATTGGTGTTCAGACGGTGTGCGGATCGAGCGGGGCCGTGGTTGCCCGTGCGCGGCTCGAGAAGGGACCCGGTGTGATCGATCGCAAAAGAACGAGGACAGAAGGAGCGTCCCAGGCAGTCGATATGCGCAGCTTGTGCGGATTCGACCGAGCGTCCGATGTAGGAGCGAGAGGGTCGTAAAGGGAATGGATGTATGGAGGGCGACGACGGCGACGACGGAAGACGAGATGGAGAGTGCGGAAGGCGGGGTGGAGCAAAGGCTGCGGAGGTGCACTGCCGAATGTGAATTTTGGGAGGCCAAGGCGCAACGTAGCGCAACGGAGCTCAGCGCAGCACAGCGCAGCACAGCACCACAGGGCAAGGCAGAACTGAGCTTGGAGAGAGGAGAGCGGATTCGAAGCGGGAATTTCTGCTTTGCCTGCTTGCGTGGACTCGAGTGACCCTGGTTGGCCCATCTGAGACGGACGAGGCACCACAGCCCGCCAAGGGAACCGAGTCGAGAGGCGCGGCGGTGCGATGAAAAAACGGCCGGCTCAGGATTCGCACGGATGTTCGAGACGTGGCTCTTCGCGAGCCTGCCTCTCTGGACGCTCGACGCTGCGCAAAGGCGAAAATCCAAATCAAAAGAGGTGACTGAGCCTCAGCCTCACCGCAGCTCGCAAAGTCGATTCGGCAGCGCGCCGGCTCGTGCGGTGGCCGGGCTGCCAACCCGAGTCTTTGCTGCCCTTGGTGGCTCTCCTTCTCGATCAAAGCAGCGGGTAGCACGTTCACACCTGGCATGGGTTTCTGCACAATGCTCAGAGAAGAGCAGACAGGTGTTGAGCGCCAATCGGCTTGGCGAGGGAGAGAGCTGGATCGAAAGCGGGCCGAAAGCAATGACGCGCCTCTGGTCTGGTTCATCTGCGTGAAATCAGCGGCGCTTTACACGACACGCCTTGGCCCTGTCCGCCGGCCACTGGCGGGTCGCAGCGCCCTGTGGTCGCGGTTCAGCCCTGTCGACGCTCCTTGAGTCGCCGTACGGAGTGGGCTACTAGCTTCGATGCCGTTGAATGTTCTGCACTCATGGAAGAGGTGTCGTGCGACTCGTCGGTACTCATGAGCGACATGGAGAAGCGGATGCCGGGAGTGATCGCGCCTGCATGGACGCTCGAGACGATGGATCGCTGTTAGTCCGTCACTCTAACAGCCAAACCCTTTCTTTCCCTGGCCTCTCTGCGGCTCATCCCCGGGAGCTGCCGTGTTCGTCCCGTCGGCTGTTCGCCCTTCGTCGGGCTTGCAGCGTGCCCTCGGCGGTTCAGGCGAACCCTCCGCCCGTATGCCTTGGCATTGACGGCGATCATGGACGTGGTGGGCGCGGTCTGGTTTGCGGCCACTTGAGAAGGTGGTCTTCGTTTCGTTTCGCCAACCTGGACGGAGAAAGTCGCGCTCAAAATGCTGCCATGAAATTGATTGCACGACGATGGCGGATCGGCGATTTCCTCTCGACGGACAACGCTCGTTGCGCGCCGAAACCGCGCCCCCCCTTGCATGGAACACGCCGATACGAGGCGGGCTTCCGCGCTCGCCTCGACAGCTCCAGGCGCTCAGAACACACGAAAGCCCAAGCAACGCTGCGTCAGGGCGGGCTGCAGCTGCCATCTTCCTCTCTGTCAGCCAACCGAGGGTCGAGCCGCTAGACAATGGGTTCTGGGAGGGATCGACAGGGTGCAGCTCGTCAATGCCGGCACCGCCTCCTACTGTGCTCCGGATCCACCCTCCGCCCTCACTCCGTTGCCCTTTTGATCAGATCCAAGGCCCGGGAGAGGCCGAGATTGAACGAGCGACGGCCGACGTCGACACGGGTGGGTCGGAGCGGAGCGCAATAGTCTGAGGCCGAACAGGAAAGAGCCCGGGCTTGCGAGTTGAAATGCCGGGCGAGCGCATGCCGGCTGCATTCTGAACGCAAGATGCAAAGCTTGAAATCCATATATTGTATTCTTGCGAGGCTCATCGTGGACTGTTGGCAGAAGCGGGAGAGCCAACATGCGTCCGCGCTGTCGGTCGGCAGGGCAGTCGAGACACACGGCAGTCCGAGCGCGTTGCGTGGTGATGACGACGATGAAGAGCTTGGGCCCATGCCACCGACGTGCTCGTGCAGCCGTAGCCTCCCTCATGACGATGGGCACGCTCCATCCGCGCGACCAACCTGCCAAAAAAGATTCAAGACAGGGTCTCGGAGCCAGAGGCAGCTCGGACGCGTCTCAGCTCGGGACCCCGCGCGTGTTCAGGCGGGACGGCAGAGCGCACGTCCAACTCGGCCTCGGCCTCAGCTGCATCGCAACGCCGGAGCGCATCACGTCCAACGTGGCCATACCTCCGCTCTCTATATCTCTCTCCCTCTCTCTCCACACTGACGACCATCCTGATTCTGCCTGTGTAGAGCCGCCTGGATAGCGCTGCCGAGAATCGGCGTGAGATCAATCGTGTCTCTTTCGCACGACTTGGCCGAGCGCACGAGATGAACAGGGTCGCAACTACAGATTGCTCGTGGTGGCCAGCAAGACGGCCCTCGCAGGCTCAGTCGGCCGACTGCGGACGAGCTTGTGAGGTATGTGGTGGATGTACGCAGCGGGCTTGGATGCCAGCTTGCAGGCTGCACCGATGACGGCTCGGACTGTGTGGGAAACGACGGCTGCGAGCGCCTCGGTCGCCGCAGCGGAGCCCAAAGTGGCACCGTTCTGACAGCTTGGCCGATGCCGCTCGCTCCACTGCCAAAAATCCACGACGAAGCCTGGCAACTTGCAGGCGCGTGTGCCAGACCAAGCGCCTGCTCGTCTTGGCAGCGGCAGCAGGGTGGGAGAAGGCACACAGCGGTATGGAGCCGAAGTGGGCAGAGTGAACTTTCGAGCAGGCCTCACGACGCAGCGTCTGCAGCTCGGCTCGGACGTCGCAATCGGCAGCGCCGCTTGGACTGGCTGCCTGCCTGCCAATTTGGAGAGAGAGAGAGAGGCGCCCGCTCGGGAATGGACAGCTGCGGGCGAGCTGGCGAACGGGCGCGTGCACTCGAATCCCTGCTTCCCGCGCTGAGTCCAACACATTTTTTTTTGACTTTGACTTTTGATGGCTGCGGGTGCGCGTGCCTGTCTGCTGTCTGCGTGCTGCTCTCCTGGCTGGGGTGCCTTGCGCCTCGGTTGAGCCGACAGGCGACTTGGGGAGGGATTGAAAAATGTAGGTATCGTAGGCGCACGGCATGCATGCCTCTCCGAAGACCCAGCCAGCCAGAGAGCCGGCCATGCCATGCCATGCCATGCCACGCCACGCCATGCCATCAAAATGTGCGCTGCCTGCCTGTGGGATGCCTCGATGCGCAGCGGTGCATGACCAAACGAGCCAAAAGCGGTGCCAAAGGCAGCTCGGTCAGACGCTCGGAACGGCTGCATAGCGCTCTGCATCAAGCCCGAACCATCAAAGGCTCCCTCTCCCCTCTCCGTCTCTCTCTCTCTCTCGGTCTCGCTCCATCTTGCTCCTGCCGCTCCTGCAGCGCTCCGAGCCTCCCCTCCTCCTTTAGTCGCTCGCCATCGCCGCTACGACGCTCTCCTCCCTCGGCCGCCTCGCTCGCCGCATCCTGCTCGTCGTCGATCTTTGCAGCTCGCCGAACCCCGCCGCCTCTGCACCACTGAGAGCGCCCTCTTAGCCTAGGCTCCACCCTTTGTAGTCTCACCTGCTCCTCGCGTAACGTCAACCCCCCCTCTGCTGCTCGCCGCGTCCAGAGAGCATCTCTTCGCGCCCCATCTGGTCTCGACGCCATCTTGGTTCTCCACCATCGTCCCTTCCCTTCCCTCCTCTCTTCTCCATACCATCCATTCCACTCCCCTCTCTATCCCCTCAGCCCCCCCCTTTCCCCCTTCCCAAGTATCCAACTCGTTCACGTTCTCTATTCAGCTCGGCAAGCTCTCTGTCTTTCTCTCGTTCCAACCACCGACCACTTTCAGCTTTCGCTTTTCAAAGATCGAATCAGCTGGCTACATAGCAACTGTCTTTTCTCTCGGTTCGTTCTCCTCCCACATTGGATCTCTAAACGCTTTCTCGCTCGCCCACCGCGCCGCTCTGGACATACACCAGATCTCGCCACGATGCCCTCGTCACGCGCCGTCAAGATGGCGGCTGTCGCGCTGCCCGCCGCGATCCTCGCCTCCACAGCCCTCGCCGCATCAGACTCGTGTATCAGCCTCAAGGGCAGCTCCATGTGCCCATCCTTCCAGAACAACTTTGTGCGCCCGAGCAACCTCTCGTCCGAATTCGGCTTCTTCGACACCGTCACAGATGTCGCCTCCTTTGACAGCCTCTTCCAGTACTACATGACCTCGTAAGTTTGGCCCCCCGCCTGGTCTCACCCACGCCACCTTCTCAGAGACTGATCTCTTCCTCTTCGATACTGCAGGCAAAATGGCTACTACAACGACAAGATCCAGGACGGCCTCGGCTGCAACACGACGCTCGCCCAGAACGTCACGGTGCAGTGGCAGCAGACCGTCTTCTGCTCGCAGTTCTCCGAGGCGTCGTTCCAGTCCGGCTGCACTGCCGAGGTGCCCCCCACCCTCGTGTGCCAGGAGACATGCAACCAGTTTGCCTCGTCCGAGGAGGACATTGTCGACAACACCGCCTACTGCCGCTCCACCAACGAACTCAACCCGTTCCAGCGTAGCGTCCGACAGGACACGCTCTCCAACGACTACTACACCTGCACCGACTACAGCTCGCTCGCCACCACCAACGTCAACTCGTGCGCCACCGGCATCGAGAACGAAGGCAGCTGCGGCTTTGGCTACTCGATCGACCAGCTCTGCGCCTTCTGCGACCCCGCCGGAGGCCTCACGCCGCCGCCTTGCTGCTCCGAGTCGCGCACCGACCTCTCCCAGTGCGCACAGTGGGGTCACCCACTCGCGGCTACCATCCGCCCCACCACCACGATTGCTACCAACGTGCCTGGCGCCGCTCAGTCCACCGCCGCCGCTGGTGCTTCCGCCTCGGCCAACTCGGCCACCGTCACCGGCGCGGCTGCCTCGGCCACCGCTACCAACGGCGGCAACGGCGGCAACGGCGGCAACGGCGCCAATGGAGGCTCGTCGCGCGCCAGTGGTGCGGCTGCATCGTCCACCGCCGCCATGGGCGCTGCGGGTGCCAACATGGCGGGCGAGGGTCAGCAGCTCGTGAGTGCCAACGACCAGGTGTTCAGCAAGGCCGAGCTCGCCGGCATCATCGTGGGCTGCTGCGTGGGCGCGGCTCTGCTCGGTGCGCTGCTTGCGCTGCTCTGCTTCCGCAGGCGCGGCGACAAGGGCGACACGGAGAAGAACACCATCTACGGCGACGCTGCCAACGAGAGCCACGTCGAGCGCCCCTGGATCCAGAGCGAGGAGGCCATGCTCAAGTCGCCCGAGCTCGGCCGGCCCTCGACGGACGCCAAGTTCGCCAATGCCGCCGGCGTCGGTGCGCTCACGGGTGCTGCTGCCGTTGCGGCTGCCAAGGGGCGCGACTCGGCGG